CAAGCCTCATGGTCAAACCAAGCTGACACATCACATTGAGCACAGACACAGAGCAGCATTATCTGGTTATTCAGAGAGCCCGCTCCTTGACTTGCCTGGTTTCGATGCCCTGAGCTAATCATTTTGTATTATTGTTCACAGCGTGCTTTGCAAGCTCCTTTGCTATAAACACCGTTTTGAACTAATTGTAACCCCACGTTACCGAGAACTCAAAATTGACAAAGTGACATACAGACAGCTCCATCAAGCCACCGTGGTCTGCCGCGACCTTGACCAGGCTAATCTGTGTGTCACTGACAACAGCTGCCGGTCGTTACTTGATCTAATCAAATATTCTCTGACCTCTATCTCTACCCCTAATTTCTCACCTCTCTTTTTGTATTATTCCTAGGCCTACAAGAGTCCCTGCGACTCGGTATCTATCTGGGAGAAGAGTACAGCCCCAATCCCTTTGTAGCAGTTCGGGACCAGGGGGCATATCCAAGTACAAAGCCTCAATTCTTGGGAGGAACCGTAGAACTCCACCGGTTCTTTCTCTTGAGAGGGTCAGGCAGTAAGGATAGGGAAACCGCAGGTCTCTATAAGCCTGCAACTCTAGTGTGTAGGGTTGGCCTAATAAAGGGTCTCTACTGACCATCACAGGAACGCCCACACGTCCTCTACAGCTCCTTCAAGAGGGGACGGAGGTGGGTTTGTAATTCATGCCCTCCCTTGGGTCAGTGGCGTAGTTCACGTCACTTCCACCACCACCTCATGACCTAATGAGAATCAAAGAGGGAAGCCCTCCTGCAAGCGTTCTTTGATGCAGAAATAAGAATGCTACGAGTCATAACTACCTAGGACCACTTTATAATCATCTGTCAAAATGAAACCAATGCAGAGGCTCTGTTCACCTCCCAGACCATAGACATAAGGCCAAAGGTTTCGAATCACAAATGCAAACAGAATTGAAGGCCAAGCTGACGCTAGTCCCCAAACAACTCGATCTAGAACTGGCCAAAGAAACACCAGATGACATAAAAGAGGAACTGGAATGAAACCTACCAGACATCAAAATCGGGACCATTTTCATAATGAAAAATCGTACCTGATGAATATACAGTTCTCGGATCACGAGATTGCAGCCACTGTCCATGAAACAGGGCTATACCTATTCAACATATATATAAGCCCCAGACATATTGAACCTAAAAGGTTCAATAACATCGTGCAGTGCATGCACTGCTACAGATATGGACGTTATAAAACAAACTGCCCTGATAAAGACAAAAAATCTGAAACACTGCTCAGAATGTGTGTCCAACACACAAAAAACAGGGACTGCAAGTCAAAGGTGAAAAAGTGCCTCAACTGTGGGGAAGGGCACCGAACCATGGCTAATTCCTGCTCTCTCAGGAAAGAAGCAATAAATAAGACAAGAGAAGAAAAATACAAAAGAGAAGAGGAAAATAAAGAAATACCTATTAAAAGGGTTGCCGAACAGACAGCAAAGCAAACCATTGAAGGTACCCGGAATGCATGTTCTAAACCACTCATAAAGGAGGAGAAAGTAAAAAAAGAACAAGTTAGACTGCAGTTACCTGACGACTTGTCCGTAGGGATCACGACAGCATTAATTCACGTCTACCTGCAAAACCTCATGGAACCAGGTCTCGGCTCTAGGCACCACGCCAAAAAAAGTTTTAAAAAAGAATAACACTTACAAGCAGTCACAACAGCCCCCAAAGCCACAACAAATACAATCAGTCAAACACAAAACAACACATGTACACTGCAAACACACAGACGACCTTATAGACTCCGAGGTTGATGATCAGTCCCTTCGCCATAGGGACGGTTAAGCGGAGCCATCACGCTACAAACACCTTAACAGACAACAACTGACACTCGAGATACAACGCGGTACAATTTAAAGGATTTGCACAAACGCCGCAAAGCAAAACCACATTCACGAACAGAAAATCACACAACAACTGCACGCAGGAAACATATTCCTCTAGCCAGCCATGATCGAAAAGATCAAACAAAACCTTGAACACATGCAGAATGGCTGGTGCAACACATCCAAGTAACACCATGGCTGCAACACAACATATTACACTCACGCCTCACGATCATACAACATAACGTATTCACATGGACAAACAGACGAAGATATGAACTCTGCAACCAATACAGACAACACGACCCGGACATCATACTCATAAATTCATCCTCACTCAACCATCCATAAACAGTAAATATATTTAACTACAACACATACGCATCCATCAATACAAACGAGAGCAATGGGGGTGTAGCCATTGCTGTCAAACAACACATCAAGCAAAAAATACTAGACACTTTCACCTCAGAACTCATGGCCGTTGAAATAGACACCCCTCATGGACCCCTTATCATCGCCACTGCCTACACCCCCCACGCAGACCTTACATAAACCAGCCTGACCTGCGACACCGAAAACCAACATACATAAAGGGAGACTTCAACGCACACCACAAACGTTCCGGATATAGAGACACAAATGCCGTCGGAAGAGGCCTCGATTCACTCATCTCAGACGGTAGACTCATCCACCTCGGCCTAGACGCACCAACATTCATACGTACCAACAGCTCCACCACACCAGACATAGTTCTTGCCAACACACATGCACAAACTTAAATTACGACACACCCACAGACGACGTCACAGCCAGTGATCACCTCCTCATCATGGTACCTACACCTCCCCGAAAGAACCTTAGACATGCAAATTGGGAAGGGTTTAAACAAGCACTCGAACACACACTCTAGATCTCGAGGGGCAACCCACACACACACCATAGACCACCAGTGGTACGGAGACATGCACACTGCCCGCAAGGCATTCCTAAACATTCCTAAAACAACATTCAAAACACTCGTACACTACAGAAAAACACATCGTTTTAAAACACTAAAAATACAATACAGACACCTTCGCGAACTTCCTCAAACACAAGGATGGAACACTGAACTACGCGTACGACACAAAGAAATTCAAATTCAACTCCCCAATGAAACAAAACACATGAGCACCCAACAATGGGAAGCACTCACAAGAACTATGCAACAACACAAAAGATCCTAAAGTCTTCTGGATGAAATACAGAGACTCATAGGATCGAACAGACAGACGAGCACATACATATTCAACACCAACAGACAAAAGGTTGACACAGCAGAGGAGATGGAAGCTACCTACAGGGAGTTGTGGCAACAGAACTTCCAAATCTCCCCTCCTGAAAACGCAACATTTGACTCAGAAACATAAACCGAGGTAACAATCACTACAACAATTGTAACACCTGATTCTCCCATCACGAACAATATCACTCAACACTCTCAACAGACAACCCCCTCTCACAACCCACCACACCAGAAGACAAGAAACACGCAAACACACGATAAAAAAACACAACGCCAGCAACATTTACCATGCCACATCTCCCATCCATCATATTCTCCAGACTCAGGTACATTTTCAACGCTTCCCTGGCAACAGGACACTTCCCTGCCAAATTTAAGCAAGCCTTACTTGTTCTCATCCCAAAACAAGGGAAGCCACCTCACGAGGAAACCAGCTTCTGACCCATCTCACAGCTGAAAGTTCCTGTGAAGCTGCTTGAGAGAATTACCTCACAGACTTAAAACACACCTTGAGTACAACAACATGCACAACGCTAGGCAACATGGTTTTCGCCCACACAGAGGGACTGGGAGCGGAATCACCCTCGCTTACGAGGAGATCGTTCTCAGTCTCGCAAACAAGCACCAAACCAACATCATACTACGAGACGTCACCAAGGCCTCTTATGCAACTTCCTGGACATCAGAATAGTCACCATCTGCCTTGGTTCTAACCTAGCCCTCCCATCCACCTCAGAAGTGGAGTTCCACAGGGCAGCGTTCTCTCACCAACGCTTTACACCCTCTACACTGCCAGTTTACCACCCCCAGCGCCATACAGTAGCTACACCGCATACGCAGACAGGGCCGTCGGGAAGGTAGCATTGCAGGGGGATGTAATGTTTCAAATTTGCCGACAAAGGGCGTGGTCATTGGGCGTTGAGCATTGGTGACTTTATTAATCACACAATAACTCTATGTTCTGTGAACCATTCATAGAGAGGTTTCATTTGCCGACAATTTTTTTTTCAGGGGGGTGTCACCCCCCCCCCCCCCCGTCGCGACGGCCCTGTGCGCAGACATCACACAAACCATATCACAATCCTCCAAATCCAAAACATCATGAAAACAGCCACACATTTACAGCCAAAAGCATGATCAACACCTACGAAAGCAAATGGAAAATACAGACCAACACAAATTCACAGTCATACCAGTGGTTCTTTCAATCAATTCGCGTTCAAACAAACAAAAGAGTGACCCACTGAACCTACCTCTCAGCTCCTAGGAGTTGGAAGGGAGACAGGCGAGGGTCTCACCTGCAACAGGATATGATAGCAGGAAGAGCTCCTTCTATGACAATACCTGGCAGGCAAAAAAAAAGGGAGGGGTCTCCTACCAAGCTGTGTTATGTGTTGTGTTATGAATTTGATTACCTAATGACGATCTTTTTGTGTCAGGGTTAGGAGTGCCATGGACCGCAAAGGCTTCAAATTCATCAAAGCGAGGAAGGCAGAGAGGGAGATTAAGCGAGGACGGTAGAGAGAGAAAGAGGAAGATAGATAGAGAGAGAAAAAGAGGAAGATAGAGAAAGAGAAGGGAAGATAGAGAGGAAGATACATATATACGCACACATGCAGAGAGGAAGATAGGGAGAGAGAGAGAGAGAGAGAAGATAGAAAAGTTAGAGAGAGAAGGTAGAAAAAGACCGAGCTCAAATTATTATTTTTAATGTATAGAATAATATTTTTTTCTATTATAAAGTAATCTGTCAGCACTCCAGGGTAAATGTCCATTTGGTGTTGCCCATGTGTTAAGGACAGCTAGTGATGTGAGGAAACGCCACAAGTG